GGGAGCAGAAGGTCCAAAAATGTAAATTTCCCAAACTCTGCCTCAGAGCAGCAGGACTGATCCAGCAGGAGTAGAACTTGGCAGTCTGCTAAAAGTCAATAGACACAGAAACATGAACATGGCCTATGCACAAGCGTTTATGTGTTGTGTCACCAGCACATGGGTAGCAGCTTGAGCAAGTGCGATCACAGCTCTGCCAATAGTGAGATTGAGAAAATCAATCCTGAATCAGCTTAAACTGCAAAATTTCTGCCCAGTTTAACAGCTTTTTAGATCAGTCGGTGATGCCTCTCTATTACTGGGATGAAACTGTAGCTTCCATCACCATGGCACAAACGAGAAGTCATTTGATTTATTGAGGTGATAATGAAACAGGGTAGCACATGAAAGGGAAAAGCAACAAAGTGATAATGCTACTGGATAGAGGAATTATGGCATACTTTCAGTCCAAGCCGCCTTTAAAGAGATGAAAGCTGTCAGCGTTTGAACTTATTTTCTTTCTGAGTGATTTCCTGTGCTTCCAGAAAAATGAAACAGCACCCATTTGTGATTTTCTTCCTGAAATTAAAAAAAATCAAAATTGGACGTGTGTGTGTGTGTGTGTGTGTATGTGCGTGCGTGATCAATTAATATCCATCTTCTCTCACTGTCTATGTATGTGCATCCAAGTTGCCTGTCAAGCTGTGGTGATCCCATGAATTTCATAAGGTTTTCTTAGGCAATGAATATTCAGAGGTGGCTTTGACAGTTCCTTCCTCTGAAATATAGCCTACAGCACCTGATATTCATTGGTGGTCTCCTATGCAGGCTAACCCTCCTCAGCTTCCAAGATCAGTAGGTAGTGCCTTTAGGGTATTTAGGTCCTATCCATCATCTAGCCATAAACTATTTGCTTGAAAGATTTGAATAACAATGAGTCATGTGGTGCTCTCCTTTGTGTCAGTCTTTGGCTGTGAATTAACCGAGCATGTTTTGAATATGGTTCCCAAAAATCAGTGATCATTGGGTGTGAAAACACCCAAAGGGCCTTTTTCAGAGTTTTCACAGAACAGTAGGGCTTTCACAGAACAGTGACTGCACAATGGCTACTCATTTGCTGTATGGAATCCAGAAGTTTTTCCTCCTGGTTGTTTTTGTATTGTGGTTATGTTACACTTTCTCACTACAGTAACATGCTACTGGGAATTCCTTCCCACTCCATATGAAGTTTATGCAGGAGTTGCATTACTTATATTGCATACTCCCATGCATGTTTACTCAGGGATAAATACTAAATGAATTCATTAGCACTCAGTCTCAAGTAGGGGTTCATAAGCTATAAGTTTTAATGCTGTTTGGAGACCAGGGTTCGATTTCTCACTTGGCCATCAAATCCACTGGGTGCCCTTGGGCAAGTCAAGGGGAAGTTAATGACAAACCTTCTCTGAACAAATCTTGGCAAGAAAACCCCATGATAGATTCGGCTTAGGGTTGCCATAAGTCAGAAGTGACTTGAAGGCACACAACAACAACAGTTTGACATAAACTTGCAGCAGGTATCTGTTGGACAGTGTCCATGATCTCTCTTTTAGCAAACAGTGCTATTCCCTTTCTCCTTCCTCATGACTCTAAAGTTCTAGGAACTTACTTAGTTATTCACTTATTTTAATTCTTAAGAAGCTGGACAGTTCTCTACTATACACCTAAGTGTAAGAATGCACATGTGGCCCTTTTAAAAATAAAAACAAAATTGAGCAACACTGACTTTACTTGTTTCTTTCTTATGGGGACAGATGCTCTTGTCATCTTCTCCTCTGCTCCTCAGGCATCGGTTGAAGCAGTGCTGTTCTAGTGTATCAGTTTTCAGCACTATGTAAACTGATTGCAGGGTCATAGCCTGAAAAGTAGTTCATAAATGCTTAAAATAAATAAAATGAATATATATTTAAAATAAATCTTTCAAAATAGCAGCAATATTCTCCACAAACTACTTTAGCACTTTGAACTAATTTTGGAGCAACTCCTGTTAAGCTGAGGACAAAGAGGAAAGTGGGAAGAAACTGGGGCATTTTATAAGATGCTGAAAAAGTGAGGCAACAGAGGATTGGGACTGTCCTTTCCAAATTAACACAGTTGAAAGTTATGTTGGGGATCATTCCCACTTACATTTAACCTGTTTTACGATTTGTTTTAGCTCCAGGTTGGTGAATCAATTCTAGTCCATGCATCGTTCTCACTATGGAAGCAGGTCTTTTCTTTATTCACTTCTTTTTTTGGCACGATTGTCATTTCCACTAGTTTGTGCCCCTTCAAAATGCCTGTTAATCATCTACACGTCAGCACATTGCAACCAGCAACACATTCAAGAAAACACGGGAGGGAGTCATGCCAGAATGCCATCCCTCACTAGTACTCCATCCCTCACTAACATTTGGAGAAATCCACCATTTCCCTCCCTCTCCTTTCCCAGGACCTGTCCTACAGTCCCCTGGGATGCATGCAGCCATGGCTGTCATATGGAGTACTCTCCCTTGGGATGCCTCAGCCATGGGTTTCATATGGAGGAGTCTGCCCTGGGTGAGGTGATGCCCTCCCAGCCTTGCAGGACTTGGGAAGACATGCTTCCTAGTCAAGCTCAGAATGGAGGGCATTTTGGAATTTCTCCTGGACAGAAGGTTGGAATGTAGGACGGTCCTGGGAAATGGGAAATTTTGAAAATAATGGTATGCACCATGGCACTTGGCCATTTTAGGTATAGCTGTTGTCCCTTCCCATGAAGAGCGAGACTCCAGACCTGAAGTCCACAAACAGGGAGGGACAACTGTACTGCTTTATCATTCTAAAAACATTATACTTTCTATAGTAAGAAGAAGGTGGAAGAAGCCATTGGAAAACATGGGAGCATTACAAATGGATTACAGTATTGTGTGTATGAGTGGGCATGGCTTAGTTGTCTCACTTAAACACTTTATGTAAAAGTTGACCCAGCCTCTCCAAAACACCTTTATTTAACATGTCCACTTTGTCTTTGCAGTATTAAAGAGACCAGTTACTCCTGATGAACTTCTAATGCCTGGAGCTCCATACGCCAGGAAAACCTTCACAGTATGTTATTATGAATTATCATTAACTTTATTTATGCCCTTCCTTTCTTTCACACTGGGACTCGAGGCAGCTCACTAATTAAAATAATTATAATTTAGTTTCAAAAAATTAAAATAGACCTAAAATAACTGAACAGCTGAAAACATCTGCTTAAAAATGATAAAAAGCAATTAAAAACAGAATACTTGAAAACAATACAGCACACTCCCCCTTAAAGCCCTTATCTGAAAAAATTTCGCTTCTAAAATTTTCATCTGCAGACAGAATGACAGGAAGGAGGGAGCAATATGAG